AGGACGACTCAACCTCCCTCTCAGGCCAATCCAATACCCGCACTCCCATCGACACTCACTCTGCAAACGATCCGCACCGTCCTGGCCAGGGATACCCCAACCGTCCCGTGCACTCCCCAGTGGACCCATCAGTCCCTCTCTTCCCATCAAGCGCATCAACGCACTCCGGACACTCACAAAGAACAAACATGCCCCCCGGATACCAACAGCCTGCCTTCCAGGACTCGGTATCTACACATTCCTCACCATACCGCCACAACCCTTCCCCCGCCCCAGGCGGGTATAATGCCTCTCCATACCCTCGCACAGGCTCAGCGAACCCCCACGCAGCCAGATCACAAAACAATGCTAGCCCATGGCAAAGGGGCGCCGGTTACGACTAAACGTTGCTTTTCCTAGTTTTTTCCTTTCATTTTTTTTTTTTTTCTCTTGTTCGTTACCATCCCACAGTTTACCAAGGCCTGGATTCTGTTTCATTTCCTCTTGCATTCCATTTCATTCACCCCTTTTACCATTCAGTGTACAAATATTTCACTTCTCCCCCTTTACTGCCCCACTGCACACAACAACGGCCGGCAAATTACTCATGGAAACTATGGACTGGATTCATGGAGTTTATCTTTTTTTTTTTTTTTTTTTTTTGTGCTCTTTTCTTCTCTTCTGGTCTGATACTACATAACCAAACCACAACCCCTTAGTTAGTCATCCTTCCCTTGTGTCTCTGCCTTCTATTAAATGGCCTTGCTATTTCCTTTGCGTTTTTCATTCCTCAAGTACTATGGGATATTACCTTGCCTGGTTCTGCTTTTTTCCCTAACCTCTTGCCCGTCTTCCTATCTGTTTCATATGGGTCTCACTCACACTCACATTGCTTTGCTCATTTCCTTGCTGTTTTACTCATCGTCTGTTCTTTTAACATCGGATAGAGAATGATAAAAGACTACTTGATGTCTGTACACATATGTTATAGACACAGATGTTAAATCTCGTCATATGTCTTTAGATGTAATCATTATACGTTTCTCAGGCATATATTTTGTCTTTTGACTGAAATCAGACCATCATGCCGCTTTAGTAATCTATGTTTTGGAATCATCATTGTGTAATCTTGACCATAACTCAGTTTAATACTTAAAACTCCAAGACACAATTCCTACTAAGACAAACGCTATAAACTACAATATACAAACAGGGAAAAATGCCAAGTCAATGAATAATATCATTCATTCACTTCGACTCGCCCATCCCCGGCGGGAACCCTCCTGGCTGCTGCTGCTGCTGCCCCATTCCAGGAGGCGGAGGAGGACTAGTGCTAGAACCAGGTGCTTGACCCGGGGCCTGGCTTGGGAAAGGTGGTAAGGGAGGCACACCGCCAGGCGCCCCTGGAGGCGGAAACTGGAAATTCGGCGGGAACCCACCTGGTGGAGGAGGTGGGAAAGGCAAACTACCAGGCGGCATATTCGGAAGGGGCATTGGAAGTGGGATTGGCTTGTCGTTGGGTCCCGGGGTGCCGGTTGGTGGGAAAGGGGGAGGGAAAGGCATACCGCGGCCCCCAGGGGCTGTTGAGAACAGTCAGTTAGTTTTCTAGCTGGTTGTGGTTGTGGTGTGTGGGCGTGGGCGGGGGATGCTTACGTGGTATCATTCCGCCTGGTGGTGGAGGTGCGCCTGGAGCTCCTTGCATGCCTGGTACGCCGAATGGTGGAGGAGGTAATGAGCCTGGCTGGCCTGCGGGGAGCGTAAGTAAGTCAGTATGTTCGTGCGCTGGTATAAGTTACTTAAGATGTGAGGATTCTTACCTGGGAATCCAAATGGGAGAGGAGGGTATCCCGCTTGTCCGGCTGCGTGCTGTAGCATAGGATTGGAACTTGCCTGGCCCTCTGCGGCGTATGATGAGGTGATGGAATCGATCACCGACTGAGCCTTTTCATGTCCGATTTCTAAACGCAGACAGTCAGTATCGATGGATTTGCAACATGGTATAATACCGTGTAGAGTATTCTTAGCACGAGGTGCCCTACCCTGGTAATATTGGACGACGTTCTTCAAATGGTTTTTGCCTGAGTTGTGAGCTTTTCGCACGCTCATTGAGTCGTGTGTGAGGTATACATCGCAATAATCGCCTGAGAATCAAGGTCACCACAAGTTAGCATACATTCATGCCACATATTCTCCCCCGTCTAGTCAATATATATATATATATGGTGTATACGGCTAGGGGTGGTTTGCGCAAAGAAGTTGACCTACAAAAGAGTGCATGGGACATTAGCTTTGGGGTTCAAGATACAAGAAGGGTCCAGGAGAACTTATATTTCGGCATGATGACGGCCAGACAGCTGCACTTCTCCTTGTCTATATTCCCCACGCGCAGCACTGTCACTCAGTATAGCGGAGGTAGCTCGCCTGTCGAGTTTCGAACCGCGGTTCCTTCGTCGTTCAATTGGTTTTGGGCTCAAATTTCGCGAGTCGCTACTTGGTTTGCGTGTGCGTCCCTGTCCTTAGGCAATAGCTGAATCTGTATCAAGCTATGGAATCATCAAGCGCATAATATTTCTGGCTCTCTTCGCAGCCAGGACTTCGTTATCATAAAATTGTTCGAGATATCCAGAACTTATTGCGGTCTTTGGATGCCCATTCGGGACTAGCGCATTAAAGCTTATTCATGTTTGCACTGTTTGTTTTTATTCGCTTAGTCATGTTTTCATTACGTGATGCATCCGAGATTCTAACAAAACCTACTCCAAAATCAATACTTCAACCACCACCTCTAGATCATTTATCTATCCCCAGCTGATTTCCCGTTTACAAGCAGATCCCGAAAAAAAAAAACACATTACTTAGGATGTTAAATCTCTTTGCACTTTCACTTGGATCTTATTATACCCAGGTTTTGTCTGCCCGTTAAAACAATCTCGGACGATTGTCACGTTTTCCTCTGTTGTCTCAAACAGTGAAAGATCAAATCGTCGGATAATGGTAGCCAGTCCGATGTAACACCAGGCGTAGGCCATACTGCTCGTTGAATTAGCAGAGATGTCATTATTAGGAGAAAATTAAAAATTCCAGTGAAGGGCTCATACTTTGGACCCAAACATCCTTGACTACCCTTCGAGAAAGGCACATAGCATTCATCCATCTGTGACCGCTTAGGTCCTTGCTGCATCCATCGCCCAGGAGAAAATAGTAACGGCTCTGGGAAGACAGACGGGTCTCTCAGTGTCAGATATATAGACATGCTAATCGGTGTCTATAGCATTGGTTATAACGTCAGCTTCAGAATCAATCGAGGGAAAGAATAAAAGATGGGACTATACCCCTGCTGGTATCTTCCAGTTACCGTACTCCAGGATCTTGTCTGGACTAATACGTGGAAGCCGAGAAGTGACAAGCGCAGTTATGCGAAGTCCTTCTTTTATAACTGCGGTCTATACCCCCTTATGTGAGAAGTTCTGTGTGCCACCAGGGACTTGACGGAATCTGCTTTGACTCACCAAGTATGGAATATTCTCAAGCATAGCTAACGAAGGGTCAGACCGCGCATCGGGAAGAGCGTACACGAGTTCTTCACGCAGTTTCTCATGTACTCTACGATTATTCAGTATATGATACAATATGATAGCCAGGGCCTGCGAAGGAGCATCCGTTCCAGCTACCATAAGGAACAAAGCGTCATCCGTTAATCTTTTAAGGGTTCGTTCCGCGACTGGGTGCTTTTCGTTATGCATGAGCTCGGAGAAAATACATGATTCTTTGATCCCGTGTCGGTTCGTCTCATAAACGTGCTTTACACGCTGTTTTACTGCCTAAAGCAACTGTTAGCAAAGTCCAGGCTAAAGAAATATTTGATATTGCAGCAGGTCGTACGCTTTCCATAAATTCTATATGCCGGGTTGTTGGTACCACAAGTGAGGTTATCCGAACAGGGAGAGCGCGAAAAACGCGAATTAGAATGGGGAAATGCCTGGTGAGGAGGAACTTTCCAAACGCTCCAGTAACTCCATCTTTCCACTTGTCGTCCAGAACCTTCTTTTGAAGCACGTTAAAACAGTTCGACTTTCCAAATGCATACTGGGAAACAATATCTACTGCAAGAGATACGAAACATTGATGTAGTTCCAAAGGCTCGTCATCCTTCAATGCGTTCCTTATATGCCTGCAAAGCAAATTGACTTTCTCTTGAATGACTGGCTCGAGGGTTCGAATAGCCGGTTTGGACAGATACGGACTGAGCATCCCCCTTCTCAATCGATGGTGGTTGTATCCAGCCGTTGAGAACAGCGAGTTCGGAACCCCCGCAGACAGGAACCAAATATACTTATCCCGTTTCATAGTCGGTCCGGTGTAAATAGTGTTGTAGTAAATGGGGTCTTTAACGTGAAGCTCATAGGGGTTGATTCGGACAATTGGCCCGTACTTTTCGTGCATTCTATCAATCTCCCACATGAACTTGCCACCACGGATCACATCGAAGTACATTTCATACCATCGGGTCATGGCGGCCAGCTTGGGTCCTGGGAACTGAGATAGGGGAGAAAAATAAAGGCGGTATGTAACCAGGCATATTCCGTAAATACCTGAAAAAGTGAGGAGAACAAGGAAATAGTTAAGTGTTGTCATATGAACCAACTCAAAGCAACTGGAATCCATCCTGAGTGTTTTGTCGTCTGATAGATTAGTCGAAAGGTAAGAACAATTGGGGATTGACATTAATCAGATTCAAAAAGTTACTGCAGGGTACTTATTCAAGATGTACTAACTGAATCGAAAATTTCAGTTAAAGTAGTCCGCAGCCATGCAGACTACCTAGCAGCCACGTACCCAATCGTCGCCTATTTCTGTACAGCACGATAGAGGGTAGTGGGACTTTGACTCGCCGAAATATTGACTGAGTAAGGCGATGTGATGATGGCCAGGAGTGCAACTACTATACTAAGATAAGCGTAGTTCTTTGCGAAACAATTATGAACTCCATCTACGTGAGGATGACCGTGAAGATCAAGATACGGCGTAGTGATCAATGGTGCTCAGCTCCAAGTATAGAAAAGCTCTTCATCCACTGTATGTACTCCAAAGCTCTGTATTTGCTCCAGTAGCCATGAGACTTGCCACCGTACCCCGCTCCTCAACAGTTTAATATTAACAGACAAGACAGAATGGAAATTATCTTGACGAGTTGGTGCAATCGATATTAATATCAATAACAGTCATTATTTAGCAAGAGGCCTCCTAAAGCCTAGACATCAAAGCGTCAAATTTCTTATCAAACTCGTCCATTCCTGCCCTAAACAGGCTGAACCCTTCAGCCGAGCATTTCTTTTGGAGGGTGGACTCGAATCCTGTCTTCTCCTCGTTAACTCGGTCGGCCACACGTTTAGCAACAAGAGTACCACCGGGAACGGCCTTGATGAGGGGGACCTAAAAACCTTTAGCTAAAATCTACGGCAATAGGGCAGTTCAGAGAGAGCGTACTTTGGTAGAAGTAGCATCAATAGCAGTTGTCAGGCCAATGATCAGTCGTTCAATATGAGGTCTTCCGTCAAGCTCGTCTTGCTTAGATAAAGGAGCCATGCCCTCAAATCTAGCCCGCCCCTTTTTGGCCATGTCACAGACGTCATAAATATCGTTGGTAACGGACATGAGCTCAGTAATACCTCCTGGCGACTGGGCAATCCTCTGTGAAAGACCTTCGATAGAAGCGCTGATAGGGTCGAGGTCGCCGATAGCCTCAGGGACAGAAGAGAAAGTAGAAGGGAGGGCAACGACCTGGGCTGCAAGGGCGGCAGCCGCCAATGTGAAGTATTTTGCGAACAACATAGTGTTGAGAGTGAGCTATTGACGTAGCACTTTGTTGGAACGAATTATCAATGACTGAGAAATGTAAGGGACAAACGTAAAAATCATGCTGATTACAGAGGGTATATGGGTGGATTTATAGGCATGACTGACGCTAGAAGCGCCAAACAAGGGGACGAGCTACTCTGGCCCAAGCAATCAAGAGGAGGCTTGATTCTTGCCACTTCACTTGCCAGTTGGTATTAGGGTATTCATTTTGGGCTGGCTGGCTGGAAATTTCGTAGATCCTCATAACACTTGACTCCTGCAGGAGCTATAACTCAGAGAATGCGCACCAGTGTTGCCTCGAAGATTTGAAGGAGACAACTAAATGGCCTTTCCTCAGAGATGGCGCCCTGATAGACATGTGTTCCTCTCGAGCATGGCTTGCAGATTAGTTGGCTGTTAAACCGACTATTTGCATGACAAGAAGTTTACTTCTTGCTGTGAAGGTCACGATGTGGTAAGATTTAACTAGCTGGCTCGCCGTGGATGAAATCCCTGGCACAGGGTTGGCGGGACGGGACCCATCTTAAAGCCGCGCGCTAACCGGATGCGGCCAAGTCAGCACATCACTTGAAAATCAACACTCGAACTTCATCTTCCCAATTTTGGGTCTTCCAGTGGTTGGCTGGGCGTCTGCTTTTGCGTCTACAGGAGGAGATTATATGGCCCATATCGAGTTCGTGTATGGAATGCAAATGCAAAGGATAAGAATAGTTTCGTGGTCCCGTTACCAAGTCCCTCCCACACCTTCCCTGGACTGTCTGTCCCAATAGCAGGCGTGCATCCAAGCTGACGGAGAACGATAACCAGACCTGCGGATATGGTAGGGGTTGGACAGTTTACTGAGCAAACAGAAGACACATAGGAGAGCGGTACAAATTGTCCAGGAAATTCCAATACCCTCTGGTATACTTCGTATTCCGTACGAAGTATGAAATCTTTCCGGTAATTTGGCCTCCTCCTGAACCCGACTGGAATTACACCCTGTGGTATTTTTGCAGAATATTACGAAGTACTCCGTACTATGTGAAATATTTCGGCCTATAATTAAAGATGATCATATATGGGACATCAAGGGACTTTCGGAGTACATCGTCAACTACAGTTACTTCGAGAACATAGTCAATATTCGTACCTGTCCTTTGACTCCACGTCAGATGCAAAGATAGAAAAATAGTACTCCGTAAAGCACAGTCTCCAAGAAACGCAACAGCCGAGTTTGACTTTGAACTCGCGGCACTGTAAATCTATAATGACTAATGACAACTGTGTTTATGAAGAAACAGAATGTAGACTGGTTATTTTCCCCAGATCTTATAATGACCGCATAGCGATACCCTTTACTAATCCGGCGAGTGGGGGTTAGCAGTTGCGAGGGCGGCGGTTCTCGCGCCATGTGGCATAAAAGTTGCTCTAAAGTACCTAAAATTCACTGTAATCGCTATTCATCCGCCTTGTTGTAAACCTGACTCAAACTGTATCTCTTTCAGTTATATAAATTGGAAGCATAGATAGAGCATTATACGGAGTACCTAGATGGCTATAGATTATTCTTCTCCTTGGCTCCTAGTTTTGTTGGACTTCACACCTAGGCATTGATGGATATATAATCACAAAAAGGAGTTTAAGCCTTGGATGCAACTAGTTATGCCAAAAACATACGTTTTACACCAGACTCATAATCCGGATGACGCAACAAACAGCAGCATTGACACTATACTGAACTACGAGGTAATCGACGGACTAGAGACCACAGGCAAAAGACCCGGGATCTGCAGAGTAAGACTAATGTCTACTCCGTAGCAATGAATGTAGATTAGACAAGATACTCAGCAGACTAGGCATATATTCGGCTTATGCACCTCACTGGCAATAGCCGGAGGCGAGTGACCGGATAAAGTGCACGGCCACTACACTGTGCTGGAAGTTTTGCACACCATAGAGCCTCTTAAGGTTAAATCGTCAGCATTGGATATGGGCCCGATGAAAGATGCATGTTGGGCCGGCCGCGACGGAAATGGGCATGGGCCAAAAAGCTCGTTGTATTGCATGTCGTTATGCATAAGGCCATATAGAATGGTGCCCTGTGCCTCGAAGGCATCTCTCCGTGGGGTAACGTAACCCCCACGTGCGTACTTGCACGTTTTGAGTTGGGAGGATGTTTTTTCGTAGGCCTCTTTTAAATACCGATTTCACTAGCACTAGCTATTGAAGTTTAGTCCTTTCGTATACGGAGATCCAACGCGTTGTAAGAGATGGGCAAGTACCCCAAATTTCAGGGAACGCGAGGGTCTATAGTGGTCCCAGCCCTATCAATTGTTAACCAAGTGTGAACATAATGGCCTCCATCATGCAACTGTGTATGATTCATCGTAGTTAAAATAAGGTTGGCTTGGCCGATTATATTTCAGAGCTCAGCTCCCTCTTTTCGCACGATGTTGAAGAGGATATCAGACCAGTATCAAAGCTAGCTAAGACGGTATGAATCGGAAGGTTGACACTTCTTTTATGCGCAAGGAAGCGGTCCACTACCTTATTAAGGCTTGATAGGCTCTTTTCGGATAGTTTGATTAACACGGGACACCTTTGGGAGAGGGGGCTGCTTGACGAGGGAATCGAAGGATGTAGACCAAAGTTAGTTTTCGTGGGTATTATGTTTTGAATCATATTCCTAGCTCATTAGATCTTGCGGCGCGATGATTGAAGCAAGCGAATACGTATTATTTAAATCGTGAGTGTCCAAATCTCGTCTCATCATGTTGCAATAATGATACAAGTACTCCGTACGCCTATAAATTCGTCGTTTCTCTTCGGCTTTGCTTCATAAATGCCACGCTAACCCTCTCTAGGTTAGTATACCACGTGATCCATTAACAGCCCTGGAGACTCAAAATTATCGTGACAAAAAAATGACAAACCGTTTGTTTCAACACGGCGTTTGATGCGAGTAAGAAACTAGGGAAAGCTCCCCAGCTGTCGTGTCACCAGTTGTGGTTGCAAGGGCCCCTCAATGCTGAAGGGTTCCCCTTGTCGCATCACTCGCCAAACCTGGGGCTGGAGAAGAGACACTCGGGAGGGATGTCGGTTTCAAGCCGAACCCCAGGCCTTCCCCGCTGAAGCAGACGATGATGAAGAAGCATCATCATCCTCGCTGTCCGTGAGAGTGCATCTTGTGAGCATTCTTTCTTTTCTCTCAAGCCGCGTAATTAGCTGGCGCTGGCATTTCTCGGTTCGGAAGTTGACGAATTAATTCTCAACGTATGCTTTTCGTGATCCTACATGACCATTCAGCAGGTACGCGAAGTAGACTTCCAGCTCTGAACCATGGACTGACGATCAGCTAGGGGAGGTCTGATTATTCTCTCACCGTAGCATATACTTATATTAGTGTTGCAGTCAAGGTGATCAAGCCTCTTACTCCGTCTAGTGTCTATTAATGAAACAACGCAACATCACGGGCGGCGATGGGCTAAGTATACTATACTATAACCTCATATACTGAGCATGAAGTATATACATGGGTCAATTTACAGAATCAACGCACCTACGGATGATTTTTGGGATGTAGAAGCACGTATGTGAAAAGAGGTCAGCTGCATATATGGAAGTTATTCTTGACCGCGAAAATTAAGATTTCTTTGGGTCGGATTCGGAGCATTTTGTGTGGCTCTTCGGGTGATGGGATTTTTCCACTCTGCAGCCAGTCAGAAAAAAATGTGACAAGAAAACCTTTCTTGACAATGCAAGAGGGCGGGTATTCGAAAATAATAATCCAGAAAAAGGAATGGCTTCGAATATGTGCAAGTTGTTGGAAGTTTCTGGTAGCCACCGTGGAGCAGCGATTCGAAGACACTGGATGCGGTGGAGTCACAAGGAGGCGCTGTCCTGGTCACCCAGCTGTATCAGGTGATGGAGAAAAATACACCCCCTAAAGGAGCCAGAGCCCTAGCCTGATCAAGCGACTCCAAGCCTTTTGGGCTTTCTTGAAGAAGGCAAGAAAAGCACTGTTGGGACGGGTCTGTCCGCAAAGGTTACGCTTGTTGTCTACCGGCATACTCGGAGGCAAGAGCTGTGAGCTGGCTCGGCGGTATTAGCGCCTAGGTGCTGCAGCCCACTCACCAAAGGCCTTTCAGCCAGCTTGGGCCATGGCCCTATATGCGTGTACGGAGCCGTGGAGGAAAAGACAGCAATGATTCCCGCTTGCTGCTTTACGCTGGACACTCGCCCCGCAGGTGACCCCCTTGCAATGCTCGTCGCTGCGCCGCGAGTGGCCGAACTAGTGTCAGGTTGGCGATGGCCAAATCCACTCACGATCGCCAGAAAGCGCCTCTGACGAAAGGAATCTTGCTGCCCAGGGCCGGAATGTTGGGGGAATGCAAAATGCAACAGCAGCTCTCAATCTGTGCACGCACTCTGAATCGTGGGAGTAACAAGACTTTTCAAATGAAGCCTCACTTCCACCTGTGGCTACAGGGCCTGGTAATTCGCGAGTACAGGGATCAAGTTGTCAATTACATGCGATGAAGGAACGTCAGGCATTCGATCCATGAATAATAATGGTCTCCATTTCTCCAACCGAAGTGCTTGCAAGCTAGCCGCAGGAGCAGGAGCAGCCCGAAGGGTCCAGGCCCTCCCCTCCCATGCCAGGAAATGGGAGAGGAAAAGAAAAAAGAATATACGGAAAAAAAGACGTGACTGACAGGGGCCTTGTTCACTCCTTTCCTGGACTTACTCCGGAGCAATTTCAGGAACATAGTTGCGGATACAGATACATAAGTTGCTGGAACCGCTCCATCCCATTCCATCCGGGTCCTCGCCTGAGAGTTACCATCGTCATTCCCCAACCAACGACCGTCATCAAAACAACTTTCTTGTTTGCCGTTGTGACGCAGCACAACAAACTTTACCTCCTTTCTGGCCGTTCTTTCCTCGCAATTCGAGTCTCAACATCCTTGCCTTCAGAAACCCAAATGGCTTACTTATAATCCACAGGCTGCTGCACACCTTGGTGGCGGGTAATTGCACAATTATTGTCGAACTCAACACCTTTTTGTTGTTGTTTTTTTGGCAATTAATTTTGTGCTTTATATTTCTATAAAAAAACCGCTTTCCCCTTTATTTCTCTCGCTTGCCTGCACGTATAACAGGAAGCTGTTCCTGCTGGATTCTACACAATCGTGCTCAACCAATTTCACCCAACAAGCCTTTCCAAGGTTTCACAATGCCGGCATATCGGATGCTTGATCTCAATCCCTTATCAGCCCAAGAAAATACCATGTACTCTGGACGCGGGGGAGCAGGGAATTTTCACCCCCTCAAAAACAGCGCCATACTGCCCTCGAGCTCGATATCAAGCACTGGCACGCTCTCCTCCCGTCTAGGCTTTAATGCACGACAATTGCTCCCAGGTGGTCGCGGAGGACTTGGCAACTTCCACAGCTCATCGGAGTACGCGATCTTTAGCTTCGATGAGGAGCTTGAACAGCAATTAAAGCGCGAGAAGGACGTCGCTCCCGTCTTCCATATCGGCCGAGGAGGCGCTGGCAACATGGCAGCCGCCGCCGTCCCAGACGCTCCTATCATGAACCTCTCCAAGAAGCGGTGTGGCACAGGAAGCGTGGGAAGCTCGTCAGATGGCAGCTCGTCTAGCGGAAAAGTCAAAGATTGGCCGCGAAGGAATTTAGATTCATGGCGCGGAGCCTTGAAAGGGATGCCATCGTGATCAATGTGACCCGGGGACGGCTTCTGCCTACGTATCCCCGCTACCGCCGGCTGTCGTTCCCGCCCTTGGCGACCAAACGCCAGTCAAGAGCGATGTCGACATGGGCTTCTCCAGCTTCTCCTCTTTCTTGCATTTCCTTCGATCATATGCATCCCCACCGATTTGCTATCGTTGTATATCATAGCGCCATCTGAGCCTTTTTTTTTTTTTTTCCCTTCTCTCTCTTTCCTCACTCTCTACTTTCCTTTACAATTATATTAACGACCGATACGACATTCACGATTTACCCTGCCTTGTCTTGAGGAGAGGGGAACAAAACAAAAACAACAGCTGCTTATTGGGTTGAAAGCATTTTTCAATTGCCTCGCAATATCCAGCAACTGGCTTTCCTCTTTTTACTTCTCTCGCTCCAGGGACGCAAGCGTTTCCTTTTTATCATTTACTTACAACCTCCTCCGCCAATGACGATATACAAATTATCTGGCCGATGAACCAACTCTTGCAATATTCCGATGTTTTTGACATGCTCCAACAACCAATGCGTCCCCCCAGACGAATCAACTCACACAACCCATTGCTGTACACCTGATTCATGTCATACATTGCGCCTCTTGGGTGAGCAGCGAGTTATAACTATTCACTTCCTGATGGTATGACCTGGGCCGAGCATGTTTCATCGAGCCACTTGGGAAAGATTAAAAAGCGTTCATTGCTATTTTAGAATACATATATTCGCTCTCCGACCGACCGACTGCCATGTCCGGTGGGATACTATGGGAAAGATCAATTAATTAGACTTGATGTTCTTTCTAGACATTTTGAAATCAATCCCAAGTTGTAAAGCGCTGGTATAAAGCTAATCCAGGTCATTATTTGCCGTAGGGGTCTCTAAACCAATAATGTCTCTGCTGGGATGTGTACATATAAGTATGTATGTGTGTATGCGTGATTTCATTCCCATACTCTCGCTGTCTTACCATCGGAGCCACAGTCTTACACAGATCGACCAGACGGATTCATAATGCAAAATAATAATAAAAAAAAAGAAGAAGAACAGACAATAGCCATCTATGGTTAGTAAAAAAGGTATAGGTATCTTTAAGAAAGGAATAGAAGCAACATATAACACACTGGAAATGCAGTTATTACCAGGCCTAAACGAGCTGCGACAGTAGAGAGGGAGCGTGTACGTGCGAGGATGAATTGACGCAGGGATATCATTAAATTGAGAAAACTGCTCCAAACACATTCCTAGGATTCACGAAAACAGCGGCAAGATCAACATGTCAAGTGAATTTCGTATGGATTATATCTGGGTTTTCATGCCAGTCATCAATGCTGACCCACATCTGCCGGATAAAAGAATGAGTATCAGCCATTACGTAGTGGCATATGGTGTGCTGGCAAGGGAGGAAAGGCGACATAGCATGGGACATACCTTTCTGAACGTGCTTAGGCCAGCCAAAATACTCCCGCCAATCCAGGTACTGTACTTTCTCTCAGGGGGTGCAAAGATCTTAATCCTCATGTCTTTGACTGCTAACCGCTGCACCTCGTGAAGGAGACGGTCGCCAAATCCTTTACATAGTGTAGATCCGCCAGACAGTACTATGTTGGCGAATAGGGACTTTCGAAGGTCCATGTCTGTCCTGTTTATGGCATCTACGACGATCTGGTGCACACCAGGATACTCGAGACCAATTATCTCGGGGTCGAAGAGGATTTCAGGAGCTCGGAATCGTTCAACACCGATCTTTACGTGAGCCGGTCGGTCAGCCATTAAGTCCTATAACCACACGACGGCGACAACAACGAAACAATGTAAAGGAGATGAATTACCTTCAGCTTATGCCCGTCTGGCAGAACATATTCCGCCATCTTTGAGTCCGCCTTTCCGCCATTCGTTGACCATTCCTTTTCTTCTTTGCGGGGGTCCATGGCTACATATCCGGTCTTTTCTTTAATCATGCGCACCACCTCCTTTTCGGCACTTGTATGAAAGACATATCCGCTCTTTCGCAAAAGCAACTGTAGATATTCGGTTACATCACGGCCAGCAACGTCTATCCTTCGTATACTGCTCGGCATGGCGAATCCTTCATACACGGGGACCGCATGAGACACTCCATCTCCCGAATCGAGCACAATTCCCGTTGTTCGTCCCGAAGCGTATAGTGACAGCACTGCCTGGATTGACGTATATAGGGCGGGGATGTTGAACTGCTCAAAAAGAATCTGTGCAGCAGTATCTCGGTTTGTTCGAGGGTTTAATGGCGGCTCCGTCAAAAGCACTGGGTGCTCTTCACTTAACGTCTTCAATTCCCCTTCGTACACCCATTGCCATATTTTTTCCATGTCATCCCAATCAGTGACAATGCCGTGTTCGAGGGGGTATCTGATCTTCAGCAGTCCGCGTAGCTCTTGTGCTCTCTGCCCGATAAACACGTCTCCTTCTAGAGCTCCGGCAAGTACTCGGGGGTGTTTTGGCCGGCCGACGAACGATGGGAAGTAGCATTTAGGGAGGTCTTCGCCTGCAAATCCGGCGCGAATCGTACCACTACCATTGTCTAACACTATCGGGGCATTGTGCAGAGCCGTGTCTGCCATGGTAGAGGAGGGAGGAAGGGAGACGGCCGCTCGCGATTATTTATTGTTGTCCGCAGCTAGGTTTCGAGTTCGCGTCTGGTTTAAGATATCGGTCACCTCGGGGAACAAAAAGAACTGCTGGTATTGTACTATCACGTCTAGAAAGATGCAAGCAATATAGAATACCGGGACGAGGGACTATATTCAACAGGTGTTGGTGGTCAAGTGTCAGAAATTAAGTCAAACTGCTGGAGTCGTAAACATTTCGTTTTTCTGGCACCAGGGGGAGCTCGACCTTAGGGCTTTTCTTGGCTTCGGCGCCCCCCAGCTGGATGCGGCTTTCCGGGGTCCTTGCTCTAACTGCAGGTTACACTGTTGACATGATGAAAGGCGGCTTTAGAGAGATCGAGCCTGTTGTTTACATGTGTGTATATACATGGGATACGAGAAAATGCGGTAGTGATGGATGAATCCGGAGTATATAATGCAAAAAGGATCAGGATGCCAGCTGATTCAGGGGCATCAAAATCCGACTCAATAATATAAAATATTCTTCCACGGGCAGTTTTTGGAGATAACTAGCCCGTCCAAATCAATCAAGGGAGAATTCCAACTGTTCACTCTTAATCGAGGAATCCAAGCTCATCTTCCATCACCCAAGCTAACCCCTTAGAATCTGTGCCTTCACGCTTGGGAGGCCATGAATGGATCTTTTCGCGGAGCTTCTCTGCTTCATGGAGAGCACCAGCAAGTCTCCTATGTACAATGTTAGAGCTTCTATTTCAAGGCCGATTTTTTTCTCAAGGGAAATCCATACCCAAGCTTCCCGTGAACTACATAATTTGCGGAAGCTAACTCCGTTGCAAGCTCTGCCTGATGGTTGTGCATCAATGCTGGATTTGGCACCACCATGAGAGGCAGACCAAGCCTCAGCACCTCCAATATAGTCCCAGACCCTACAGTAGTCAGGAAACAAATCAGTCTTTACATATTCGGACAGCTAATAATCTGTGTTACAGTTGGTCTAGTTTACCTGCATGGCTGATGACAAGGCCCTCGGCTGTATTGGTGCTTGGATTTGCTTTGGCAGCGCACATCTCATCCTTGAGGCCGTTTATATTGAAGTCGAAGCCGGTCAGGGTCAGCCCATAATTATGAAGTACTTCATTTTCATTGTCCTTGACGAAAGAGCGGAATAGTTCGTCTCCATGCCGGCCGTACTGGATGGTTAGATTGGTGTAATTGTTTACCTTGAGAGCAGCCAGAAAATCCAGATGAAGGATCTCTCGAATCATGGCATTAAAAGATGCCGTAGCACCTACTGTGACAAAACATGTCTTCTTTGGCCGGCTCCCTGGCTGCTCTTCTCTCCCCTGTGCCATGTTGGTATTCAATCAATATAAGCCGTTCATGCAGGTATTTCTCAGCAGGCTAGGTAGAAGAGCGAGGATGGCATCTTCCACCGCGGACCAAAAGACTTTCAGGGAAGAGCATCCAACCTGCTTCTCTATATAACCCTTCACCTCAAAGCTGCCCTCTGTCTTCTTGTCATCACCGTCATCATCGTCATTCATCATCACCATCGTCGCCGCCTTCAACTTCCGCAAGGCTTACATAACCGGTGTATCGGAATCCGGAGAAATAGTTTTTCCGAATATCAAACTTTCCTGTCGCAAGCAAAAAATGTTGAACTTTGAAGATGCGAACAAAGTGAACAGAGAGAGAGAGAGCGCAGAAGAGCCAACATCCTGCACAACCGCCTAATTTCCTTCGTGTACGTGTCCAATTGCTGCTGGAAATGGCTCCAGTGGCGAGATCTTTCAGCCGATTAGCATTGTCGTGCCCCAGACAAGCTGCCTCGAGACGCACTACGTTCCTACAGACGCACCAGCCATGCTCGACATTTAACCAACAGAGACAACAGCCATTCTCTGCTGCTTCTATACAGCTAGCTCCGGGGAGTGAAACTCAAGAATCCGGCAGTGCAGCACTTGATACCGCGATCCCACCTGACCTGCAACGGGAAATCAAACAAGAAATCCGCAGTAGCATCAGGGAACTGCGAAAGCAAGTACGAGATGTTGTCCCTATGCCACCGAGGTATAGAACTGGCTTTTGGAGTGAGGGTGAGAAGGACGACCTCATGACGCAGGTAGAGGACGGTGATGATGTATTTGGCGAGGATGATATGACATCTATGGCGCATGCAGAGCTCGAGGAACACCGTGAGCTCAGAGAATATGCGCGTATCGCAGCCTGGGATATGCCTTCACTGAGCGGTATGATATATGATGTTCTTGAAAATCCATACATAACGAAACTAACAAACTTCAGCTCTTGCAAAACCCTTCACACTCCCGCCACAAACTCATATTCTCCGTTTCCGACAAACTACCTACCTGGGTGAAACGCATCCCGCGGAAACAAAAGTAGTCGTTGAACTATGCTCCAAAGACCTTACACCGAAATACCTCACCGAAGAGCAAAGAATTACCCTTCTAAAACTTGTTGGACCACGCTACAACCCTGACTCAGACATAATCCATATGTCTTGCGAGAAATTCCCTACCCGTGCCCAGAATAAGCGATATCTCGGCGACCTAGTTAACACACTTATTAAGGAGGCCAAGGAAGGCGACTCATTCGCTGATATCCCATTGACATTCCCCCATCACAAACCCAAGAAGAGATACATATTCCCAGAAGCATGGAAAGTGAGTGAGAAAAATCAGAAGCAGATAGAGGAAGCAAGGAATCAGATTGAGGATATAATGGCCAAAAAGGGTATTGTGGATGGGAACGAAGTTATTGCGCAGGCCGCGAAGACGATTCCTGCCCTAGGCTCGATGGGCCAGCTTGCCGCACAGACAGTTACGGTGAAAAAAGGGCCAAAAGCTCGTGGGCCGAAGGGGAGAAATTGAAGCTTGATTGCATGTGATAAATTAAAATTTTTATCATGCTGTTTGGCGACCGGTAAGGAGTTCCATTTCCCCCACAGGCTGCTTGATGAACTTGGTATATACGCTTCTTCTACGTGTATTGTATTTTATATCAACATGTATTACACCACTATTTTTTTATTCTTTTTTAATAGACAGGTCATTCATATAACTCCTTGGGACCTGGTAGGTACTGGTTTTTGTATTGGTACAAGATGGGGTTGCCCCCTACACTCTTTGAAGCAAATAAGCCGTAAAAAGAAAAGAACCGAAGGGGAAACAAACAGCAAGCCAAGGATGAGAAAACAAAGTCCCAAAGCTACCTGACAAACAGAGAGCATGGAGGGATTCGTCAATGCCACTGCTCTTATATCTTGAGGTGAAGTGTCAGTCAAGGGATGAAGGGGGAAAGGAAGGAAAGTAGAAAAGCAAGCAAACAACCCAATTTTACAGCAAACTAATTCAAACTGTAGCAGAATTCCATCTTCCAGCGTGAAGGGTATACTCCTTATTTCGCTTATCCAGCACAGTTTCCTATTGCCGTTTGATGCGAGTCCATATTCCTTAGACCAATAAGGAAAAAGGCTGTAGAGTAACTTTGATGCTGGAGAGGGTAATCATATATAATCCAATGTACGAACGTTGTTCAGTACACGAATTATACTATCAGAAAGGTAGATTAAGCCAATTTCTGTATGAAGGCATAAATAAAAAGAAGGGAAGCAAGGGGGAAAACATAAAGCAGAATCAACTGGGCAAAGGCATGGGGTTTGAAGGAAAAGGAAAAAGAAGAAATGGAAAGGGGATGGGAAAGTGCTGAAGGCCAAATGCATTGCCAACGACCTTTTGAGATGCCATGTGTTTGCTGCCGTCGAATATATGGAACAAATGTATAGGATGAGATGGCCTTAGATGTGTTTGGCAGTAAGGGTAACTGGGTTGTTTAGCCCAAGATCAAACAAATCACAGTTAATTCCTCTGCTGGTCTGAGTCGATTGGGTGGAGTTTGGAGATCCACGGCTCCCGTATCTGTGATTGCCATTTCCACGAAATTCGAAGTTATCAGGGAAACGGTTGGCAGTCAGGCCAGAACGGGGGGAGCAAGGGGAAGAAGCATAACTGCCAGACTGGGGATGAGAGGAAAAGCAAGGCGAGATTGCCCTTGATGCGGGGACTTTGAAGTCCAGGTTAGTTATAGTAGTGTTTATGGGGGCGATGTTTGTTGGCCGCAAGTGCTTTTCCTCATCAGTGCCATCGTTGCCATCGATAGATGGTCTGCGTTGGTAGAGTCGACGAGAGCGCTGGGGTTTTTTCTTGATCTGAGTTCCCTGGCCGTTCGGCTGCTGGTTAACAGGAGGAGCCCCTGCAACGGGCAAGAAGGGAGTAAGGGGTAACAAGTTCCAGTTATCCCCTTCATTCCCGGTTATGGTCCAAAGAGATGTTGACCCTGGAAGTGGCAGAGAGCCTGGAGCATAACTGTGAGAAAGCATCAGGTTGTTGTTGTTGTTGTTGTTGTTGTTGTGAGATACAGCATTCTGTCCTTGTCCGTTGTTTGAGCTGGTGGCTGGCGCAGTTGGTGGTAGTCCTGGGCCAGTGGGAAATGGCTGGTCCATAAGGTCAATTTTGACATGAGACTGATTGCCATTACCAGAGAAGTTTCCAAGCGAAGGTTTAATCCTGTCCTGTACCGTGTGGTCGGGCGTAGGTGTTTTCCGGAAGTCATCGATGGAAATAAGATCACATCGATTGGTAAATTTCGGGCCCTCAAGCGGCGGGTTGTTTGCTGACATGTTCACGTTCAAACCTACTGGGGCAGATAAGCCCATAGGAGGCCCATGAGTAGTGCCGGGTATGTTGTTATACATGGTTGGGTGACCATGAGGCAGGGTAGAAAGGTTAAGCTGTTGTGGGGGTGTAGGGGTAGCTCTGGGCCTTTCCGCCTGGGCCTCTGTAGTCATAACCCGGTGACAATTAGCGTCGCGTCTATCGGCTGGGTTTGCAGCAGTGACTGGGAGGTGATGATGGCTATGGTGATGGTTTTCAGCACGCCAGTTGCGTCCGTTTCCTTCATGGCGATTTCGTCCAGCAGCGCCCCCGAGCCCCTTGACTCCATGTTTCTCACGGTACCAGCGAGGGATATCTCTGAGCCCAAGCTTATCAAGCGTGGGTTTATCCGTAGGCATTTCGTGTTTGAAAATGCATCCTGTGTTAACATGTCAGAATTTTCTGGTATCTTATATGCATCTCCCACCAAACTGGACATACCCTGCTGCTGATAGTCACACTCTCCATGACGAAGCCAGAACGAGCAGTATTCCTTTTTGGCAGAATTCCCATTTTGACCACCTTTGCCGTGGCGATGACCGGAGCTCTGGGTGATTTGATTTCAGGTTAGCCAGACAGGGTATGCAATGGAGTATCATCTACTGTAGGAATGTAGAAACCAACATACATGCTTTGTAGAGGTTTGAGCACCACCTGTGGTAACGAGAGTCCAGTCTGGATTCTGGCCCGCAGATGCATCTGCCGTGGGGTTTTGGGGTGCGGTCGCCAGCTGGCCAAAGTCCTCGAGCCCGCGTGCGGCTGCTGCGACCACCTGGCGGCCAGAATTGTTTGTCTTTTCTCCCACGGACTTGGGTGTGTGCTGGATAGCACTGTCGATAAGGTAGAATTGTCCACGAGACTTGACTGTTCCAAGGCTGGTCATACCCTGGGTGTCGCTGTGGTTCAGAGTGCGAGGAACGCCTCTGATAGAGACATAATGGGGCAGTTCATCAACGGCAACCAGGGCCGTAAGGGTGCCATCTTCACGAGACAGGAAGTGTAGAGGTCGAAGAGGCATTGCCATGATAGACTGGGCAATATATGATATTCCTGCAAAGTAGGAGCCAATTTGAAATGTATGTGAGTGAGTCGTGATAGACTACCAAATTTGGTCAGATATAGAGAGTAACGTAAGAAGAGGCAGCGCTAGAGGGCGGGAGAAGAAGGAAATGGATATCTAGCCCAAGCAGCTGGTAATAAGGGCGAATATCAGAGAAAAAAAAAAAGGCACCAGAGGGATGAAGAAGGAGAAGAAGGAGAAGAGTATATGTGCTGGTGTGTGCGCGTGGATATGTGTGTGAGTGTGATTGTGTGTTGTGTGCGAAAGGACAAAAGCCCAAGCGAAAAGGGAGGCTGGGAGGAAGAAGAGAGAGGAGGGAGCCTGATAGTGCCAAAAGGGGTAAAGCGGCTCTCCTGGCTGTGTTGTTGGATGAGAGAGAGGTAAAAAAAGAAGAGCAAGTGAAGGACTTTGCATCAGAATGCCATTCACTAGAAGGCCTTTCTTCCCTTCTTCTTCTTCTTCTTCTTTTGTGGAGAACAGACGGTATATAGATCAACAGTGGAGCTAGATAAAGGCTTCTTCTTCGCGCTGAGAGAGGCAGCAAAGGAGTAAGATAGAAAGCAACATACAAGGGAAGGCCAGGACAGTTTTAAGAAAGGCTTGTGTGTGCGAGAGAGAGAGAAGAGACAGATCTAATCTACTGGCGATAGCGATATCGGTGTTTGCCAGGAGATCTTTGTTTCTTAGCTC